AAATATATGTTCTAAACATTCAATTTTAAATAATTCCCTATAATTATATTGTGAAATTTTTGAAATAGATATTTTCAGGAAAACATTTAAGAATAATTTAGGATGTAATAAGAAAAATAACTCCTTCTCCTGAAAATGGAAGTAATTCACTTAACTTTTTGGTTACTTAGGAAACTCACCTCCCTCAATTTATACTTAAAATTTCACTCTCTGTTCCTAATACAATGTACTTTCTAATACAATGCATAAAATGAAAATATGAAAGATTTAAGAAGCAGTTCTTTCTTCCCGTGAAAGAAAATATTTGATATAATTGCATTGATGCATGTCTCAGAAATGAGTGTTATTATAATTAGGTAATTATACATAATTGTAATTATACACATGTAATTGTAATTATACATAATTTTAATTATACTATAATGTATGTAATTACACATAATTTTAATCCTATATTTGTCATATAAAATAAGTCAGAGATAAAATATACACTAGGTCACCTAATCAATTCTTTTCTTATGTTTCTGATCTAGAGATTTTCTTAAGGATTCATTCAAATTCATTCAATTATCAAAATAATTCAATCATGAGACTGATATTTGTGCAAAATGATCTCCCTTTATATTTAATTAGTACTTTAATATTTTTGTTTATGTATTAAAGCATTCTTGTGCTTCTTAGTGTGGAAAACATCATGTGTTTATTAATGTCTACTAGGGAAATTCAAAGTCTCATTTACCAATAGGTAACATTTATGACGCTGGCACAGAGAATTATGTATTTAATCTTACTGTTACACCTAATCGTGAGTGTCAACATAAAAATCTACAGAAGGAAAAGTTTTCTGAAGAAATTTGCCTTCTAGTATCTCTGGTTAAATTTTAACTGTTTTTGCCTAAGTTGGAAGATTTGATTGTTTACAGTCCTGAGTTGAAGACAGCAATCAGACCTAATCCATACTCAGGTTTTCTTTTAATCCTCTGCCTCTTCTTTGAGGGATACCTGTGTCTCCTTTATTTTTTTTTAAATCTTATGTATGTATTTATTTGGTACAGGTTTTTGCTCTGCATCTTGTTTTTTTAATTAATTTTATTGAGAAAAAAAATTGCAATGAGACAGCTTCGAAGCAGGTCGGTAGGAGAATTACAACAATTAATACATGGCATATTGTTGTCTTAGTAGTAGTCATTCATAGTAGAAGATGCAGACATGATATCCTGTCCAAACTATATCTTGGAGTCAATGATATTCCTGTCTCAACCTCCCCAGCGCTGAGATTATAGGCGTGTGCCACTATGCCTGGTTTTGGGGGCCAGCACCCAGAAATTAAAACTGGATCCTTGTGCTTGCCAGACAGAGGCTTAGACCACCAAGCTACCTCTCCAGCCCTCCTTTAAAAATATTATTAAAAGTTTCATATGCCTTTAAGGTTAAACTAGTGTTTGCAGCTTCACTATATGTGTCCTGTAACTACTACAACATAATTCTGAAATGGAAAATAATACATATTGTAATTATCCATTGATGGGTCTTCGTTTTGTCTATTCTCTAAGCCATTAGACAGCAGAAATACAACAGGCATTTGGCACTCAATTTAATAGTCGACCTAGACCAGGGATTCTATACATACTAGTTCAATGTACTAACCAGCCAAATACAACTCAAAGTTCAAAAAAGACTATGCAGAGTAGCCCGTAAGAGTGTCAAACTGGGACATTATTTACTTAATCCAGCCAAAGTCATTTTTTGAGTGGTTTATATGTCTTATTATCATCTATTTATGCAAATTTCTTGCACTCCTTCTATTTTTTTCCCTCCTCAAATATATTTGAGCAGTGTCTCTCTCTGTACATTCTCCTGAGATATGTCCAGCTCTACTCTGCCTAGTATAAATTACAATTATGGGACATAGTTACAGTTTATTACTGTAACTCCAACAGTGTGAAAATACATTTCTACTGAAAATTTTCTGACTAGGAAAACTATAATTCCCATAACTAGATAAAGGATATTAACTCATATAATATTGAATACTCATACTGACATTTGATATTTAATACACAAATTGTCAAAAAGAAACCTGAGCAGAATGTTTCAAACCACAGGCTAAATGAACAAACTGGGCTGAACCAGTTATTCCAGATACTCTTTTCTTTCATGCTATTTTGGTAGCCAGTCAACAAATCAGATGTAATTTCTCATTTTATTCAAATTAGTTCTTAGCTATGTGAACTATGAAATCCAACAACCTCAACACAGAATCATGGGGATAAGTGCTTCCATTCTGGAAGGAAAACTTCTCAAAGAATTAGTTTTGAAGTGACAAGTCAATTTTATTCACCTTGTGAGATGATAAATAAGAATACCATGATCTCAAAATTTGATTTTTCCTTCATTCTTGTTTCTCTTCAAAGAATGATTCACTGTCTTTTTAATATAAACGTCAATATTTATTGCTATTAGAATTTGGAGGTTTTTTCCTACTATATATTACAGAAATGACATCATTAGTATAAATAAATATTTTGATGGGAAATCTATTCATAAAAAATCTTGTAATGTTTGAAACTCTGCATACTGAACTAGTTTTATAACACAGAGTCCAAATTCAAACATAGTCATAAATTCAATGAGGAGAGAAGAAAATTTGCCTTAGAAGAAAATGTGAATGTCTAGAATCATTTATGCACAAAATTATGTGTGACACAAAGGTCCAAAATAATAAAAGTACTCTTTAGAAATGCTGAACAAATATACTTTTAGCCATCTCTTTTAATCAGACTATTCATCTTACCACACCTATTCTGACTACCATTTAGTAAGAATTTATTGAACTTTATTCAAGCAACGTAGCCTAACAAAAATGCTGATGCTTATATAACAATTCTATAGACATAACAGAGACATGAAATCATTTCAAAATTCAATATTATATGAGGATTCTGCTTCACCATGAGCTTAAGACCAGCATGGACTACACAGTGGCATTCTGTCTCAAGCATTCATTCTCCTCCTGTAAAAGAAATAAAACTCAACATTGTGCATAAAAAACAGTAAACTTTATTTTAAGGATTATTAATTTTATTTTGGTGCCAAGAATCAAACTCAGGGCCTCGCAATTACCAAGCTGGCATTACTTCTACTGAGTTATACCTCCAGACCTTAAATATTAATTCTTACAAAATTTCAATGTATTCCATGTTTGAAAAATACATAAAAAATAAGTAAGCATTAAATATTTATCTAAAACGTTTTTAAATTAATAGAGTTCCCATGAAATTACTATATCCTCAAAATTAGGTTCAGCCTTTAGTCAGTTCTCGAATTTTCTCAAAAATTCCCTGGCCTGACTGCTTGCTAGCTGGCAAAAAAGGATTCCAATTCAGAGCAGTTCCAAGCAGTATGAGCACAGAACTCTATGTGAAAGGGTTAACATAAGCTTGCCTATCTCAAGCAAGGCTGTGGTTTAATTGCCAAAAGCTTTTCCATATACAGTGAA